AGAAGAAGAAGAAGAAGAAGAAGAGGAAGAAGAAGAAGAGGAAGGAGAAGGAGAAGGAGAAGGAGAAGGAGAAGGAGGAGAAGGAGAAGGAGAAGAAGAAGACCCATCCATTTCCCCAATCATGTCTACCTGCCCCTCTCCCTTCCCTTCTCTCTCTTCAACCTCTGGCCTCTGCAGCCAGGCTGGGGGAGGGGGGTGTCTGTACACAGCTGGCTTTGCAACCCCAACCCACCACCCCACCCCCACCCCACTCCCACCCCCACCGTCCCTATCCACCCAGCAGCTGTGGTCACCTTACCTCTCAGATAGCTCAGCTCCAGCCCCTTCTTTAGGACACACCTCTCCTGGATCCCCTATCCACGCCCCCCCCCCCACACCGCAAAGCGCTCACTGGCTCTGGGGCACCTCCCTCTTCTTACCCGGATCCAGGCAGGACTTGCTGCTGAGCCCCGCAGATTGGAGTGCACTGGGCACCCTAGCGCTCTCAAGCAGTCTTTTATAACTGAGTCCTTGCTTTCAGTTTTCTTTCTCCTCCCAGGAGCGCTAAGTTTCTGTTTCCTTTTCTCCTGAGTTGGGTAAAGTCGATCTGGAGAAAGTGGCTTTATGCCTGTCTTCAATCGAATTTTAATGTACGGGGAGAAAAAAGCATAGACAATAATAAAGAGCCGGCTCCTCTGGCGTCAATATAGAGGGGCAGAGAGATTTGAAACAAGACAAAACAAGAAGTGCTAGAAAGAGGTAGAACGCCGGTGAATCTAAAAACGTCCACGGTGAGATAAGGGGCATCGCTGTTCCCATTTGTGTATAAAATGGAAAAAGAAAAAAAAAAAAGACTGTAAGATCCCTAAGTGTCTGTCATGATCGGGCTGATGAGTCGTAGTCTGCAGGAGCCCTGTTTCGAACTTTTCCACGAGCCATTTAAAAATTAAACTGACAAGGTCAGTCTGCTTTCTGGAATGTCTTCTACTTTTCCCTTGGAAGTTTTTAACCTGTTGACTCCTGATGTGCCTAATTGCATGGATGCTACGCATAGATAAATGTCTCGGTGGAGCGGTGGGTTTGGATAATCTGCTGAAAACAGTAAACCCAGGCTGCTTTGCCTGGAAGACAGGAGCCAAGCCCCTCCCAGCCGGAGCTCTGAAGGGCCCCCCTTTTTTTCACTTTTAAGAGGCAACTTGTTCAAGAGAAAAAGGTGGGGGTGAGAAAGAGGCCTTTCCCACATTCACAAGATATTCATGCATCCCCTTGTTTATTGGGGAAAATGTTACATAGTTGTTTATGATGATGTTGAGAAACAAATCAAAAGAAGCTGGAAAGAGAGAAAGAAAGGAAGGAAGGAAGAAAGGTAGTACATTATCTGTCACAAACCATCTGGTTATGGAATGCACCTTCACTGATACCTCCCATGCCTCACCTGACATTCACCTTTCCCACCTTCCTCCAACCCAGCCAATAGGCTATCTCTGTGAACATACTCACAGAGTAGTTGGCAGAAGAGACTACATTAAGGATTTGGGGACAAGTGAATTGTCCTGTATTAGCCAGGTTGACTCCAGTCATCACAAGGACCCTTAAGGGAGGGAGGCAAGGACTCAGAGAAGGTAAAGACAGGAAGTGAAAGACGGTGAAGATGGAGGAAAAAACCACAAGCCAAAGACTAAATGGTCCATCATAGTGGGCAAAAGCATGGGAGCTCTTGTTTTGGTTTTGTTTTTGTCTTTTCCCTCCTAGAGCTTTAATGAACCAGCCCTGATGATGCTGGGACATGAGCCCAGGAAAACTGATCCTCAGAGCTCTACAGGAATTTTGTATTGCTTTAAGTCACTACATTTGTGATAACCGTATACACTAATAATATTAGGAAACTAATAACTGATTTGCTCTGAGCAAAAAATAGTGGATTGTGTTATAATAAGAGACAGTGTTACCTCAGGAAGCTACTGTGTCTCAGAAAGGTACTGATAGCCTCAGACTTATTGTCACATTAATTCTCGCAATTAATTCACTGTGCTAAGATTCAAAACTTGGCTTAACCCAAATTTCTACTTACAATATTCTCTATTACATAAACTCTCTGAGACATGTGCCAAATCCTATATCTGATCATCTTCGTGTGAAGGAAGGAATTGTTGCCTTTTGCTTTCTTTTATGGTGAAACTGCTAAGATTTTGGTAAAGATGATGTTCTGTATTTGCCTTAATTTCTCTCGACTTCAGATTGACCAGGTGTGAACATGGTCCCATCTTCTTCCTCCCTGTCTCTGTCTGCTTTATGATGCTTTTACCGCATACCACTGACTGGATCACTTATAAAGAGATGGAACTGAGTTCTCATAAGTCCAATTTGGAGACTAAGAAGTCCAGTTTCCAGAAAGACAGCATCTGGCAAAAGGATCTCAGAGCGACATTGGACCATGGAGGCTGGCAAGGGAAGGGAGAGGCAGATCACGGCCTCTGATGGTGGATGCCTACACCCCGAATACCTCCAGCTGGGGTCTACCTTCCAGGTCATTGCCTTGGGGATTAAGGGTCTAGTACATGAATCAGGTGGAATATGTTCAAACCATGACACACCCAAAGTATGTAAACAAGGCATACAAGCTCACTAGTTTTTCTTCTCCACCTCAGACATCCATGATTATCCTCTACCTCCACCTCCCACGATTACATCCTGGACTTTGTTCAAAAATAAGATAATCACATTGTGTTCTAATTTTCAGACCTCTCCGTTTGGACTTTGCACTTTATATAGCCTCCTAGGATTCTTGAATGTTTGTCCTGCCTGGGCGAAGGCCATGAGCTAACACTTCAACTATTCTCTAACCAGCAGGGTCAGCTGCTGGTGTCCACCCCTGCCCAAAATTAGACAAATCGGGATCAAGTCAACTCTTCTTTCTCCTGTCTGGACCCTAAGGAGAAATGGCCCAGTTTGCATTCCATCTAATGGATTGTTCACAAACATCCTGGGCAAGTGGGTGCCAAAAATCGCAGGCTTAGCATCTGCAAATGTCTCTGCATTCTGGAGAGTTTAGTATGTATGTGACGAGTCAATGGTTCTCACTGATTCATAGCACAGTACAGAGGAGGAGCAATACAAGTAGCAGAGATGTCACAAAACACTGCAGGAAGCTCGCCAAGTCTGAGGCTACTGACTGCAGGACCTGCTGGCTTCAGTGTGGACAGATGTCACAGCATTGTGTGAGGGGGACCCTCCATTTAGGATCAGCTGATTGACTGTAAAATAAAGTCATATCGGTAAATATGGAATATGGCACCTCCAGCACTCAAAGGACTAGAAGATTCTGGACTTGTCTTCACCCTGGTGGGTACTGAAAGGGACAGTTGTATATAGATCAAAGATAGAGCAGTCTTCCATTCGCCAAACAATTTTCAAGAATTTAACCAGGGGACCAAGCCTTGTACCTTTGTAAGCAATAGCCTTCTGTAAGTGTGTTTGTGAATGCTTACATGTCCTGAAAGAATGACACAAATGGATCTCCATAGAGGAGATTGTCAGGGGTAAAATGTCGCATTCATCCCTGGAGAAAGGTGGATTTAGTAAGATTTTTTTCCTATAGGAATGGTGTTTAGTGGCTGGATAACTGGAGTATCAGTGAGCAGTGTAGTAGAAGTGGATTTTACTCCTGAGAAGGGAAGTCAACCAGTAGCACAGATGCTTTTTAAATAGAAACTTAACAGAACACATTAACCAAATCTTTGCCAGCAAATTATTCATCAATTTGTCATTGGAGAGAACCAATATTTCAACAATATTGGAAATTAAGGAATGGTGACATGGCAAAAGCCACATTTTCCAGGCAGTGGTAATCCACTTAAGAATGAAGAAACCTTCTATTCTTTCCAAGATTAGTAACAGGATTGTGGGAGGAATACATTGTCACCTGTATGTTGACTAAGTCTATAGATAAAATTGAATGCTCAGTGATTTAACACCAAATGATGTTGCCTGTTGCTTTGTCTCCATTCTGATGTGATTGTTTCCAGAGCTTGTCCAGTATGTGATTTTGTAAGGAAATTAAATGCTACTGATTTTTGTTTTTTAAAGCCAAGATAGCCTGGCACCTATGGCTCATGCCTATAATCCCAGCTACTCAGGAGGCTGAGTAGAGATCTAAGGATCAAGATTTGAAATCAGCTCTGGTAGAAAAGTCCATGAGACTCTTATTTCCTATTAACCACCAAAAAGCCAAAAGTAGAGAAATTAAAAAGCCAAGAGACAGCAACCAGGCCCTAAATCAAAGCCTAAATAATAGCATCACACACACACACACACACACACACACACACACACACAGAGCCAAGGTTAAAATTTCAACAGTTTCCATTTGAAAGTATTTATTCTTTACTACATGTATATAAGTTTGCTTTGTGGGATCATCATTACAAAAACTTAAATACCATAAATAAACCTTGAGTGTCATAAATTCCTATCTGTATAAATCTGTTAGGTCAACAACATTTTACTTAACCTCTTCATCCAGTAGAAGCAAATAAAATGCTTCCTTATTTAAGAAGGATTACATCCAAAGCAAACCACAGAGGCAAGTGTGAGACTAAAATGTGCTCACTAAACCTGTGGTATCCCTGACACAGGCTTTTTTGACAGCTGCTGAGCAGTCATTGAGAGAAAACATGGAGAGTTAGAGATACGCCACTTCTGTAAACATTCCTTCCCAAAATAGTTTTGAGCAAGTTGCTAGGCCAACCAAAGTAGCAGCAGACCAGCCTGGGCACTCAGCACAGCACCTGTCTTCAAGGATCTGAATTTGTGTTTTTAATAGTTAAATCTTTGGCCCAACAGCTGATTTCTTCCTTTGTCATGTTCTTTTCTGAGTTTCCAGAACCAGTCACACTCTTCCTGTAAAGGCTTCTTTAGGAAGCAGCTTCCTCAAATGGTCACAACTGTTCTCAATTTCAGGCTACAATCATTCTACCACCAAAGTATGGTGCTCTCTCAGTAAGTGCTCACTAGGAGACAGGTAAAACCCAAACTTTATTTTTCCTCTACCATCCCTTCCCTCCCAATGCTCTATAGGAAATGTACTCACTACCTTACTCATGTAACTGTAACCCTTTTGTACAGTATCTTTATAATGAAAATATATATCTTTAAAAAAAAACAAGTTTAAGAGAAACAAGACACTAGATGTTTGGGGACAAATAAATGTCAAAGCCATTTCTAAATATCCAATTATCTTAGTATCTTTATCTTCCTCCTTCAGTGGAGAAAAATAAATAAAATTAAAAAATGAACAGTGTCATCCAGACATGTTTTCTTTTACTCCCACTCATTTTAAAACATTCAGACTTTTGATCATAGAACCATCATAGGCAGTAAGACTACTAGTCTTCAGTGCTGGCAAGGTGGCTCAGTGGTAGAGTGCTTGCCTCGCATGCATGAGGCCCTAGGTTCTATTCCTCAGCACCGCATAAGCAGAAAAA